CCTGATGGGGAATTATCCTTTGTATAAATATTCTGTAAAATTATATTATCTACGCTAGACGTAATTCGACCACTTGAGATAATATAATTCGACTTTGTATAATAATTCTTGATGTAGAATTATTCTTTGTTTTAGACTTGAATTTATTTTATTTTTTACTAGGTGTATGTGCCTTAGTGATTATATGCGAAGTCTCTCCTATAAGAAAATTGCGCGTCTTATATACCCATTCGACCGAGCTTTTGTGTAGCGTATCATTTTATTTACAGCTGATCTCACGTAATTCTTGTTTAATTTTTGCCGTTCTGATTTTCTATTTCGTGTTTGTGCGGTACTCAGCTTGTGCATTTAACTTCTCTTTAAGCTTCTCTTACGGCTAATATTTTTGGCAGTTCTTGCTTTCTTATGTTAACGCTGCTTTGTTTTGATTCTTACAAAACGTGTTTTAAACTACATTCGGTCGGTGGTGGTTTTTTATTTATTTCGTTTGTTAAAATAAAATGCAAATTAAAAAAAAATAAAAATATAATTAACAATAAATAAGGTGAGTTTATTATTTATTTATTTAATTATATTTTTATATTTCATTTCAATATCATTTCAGATTAGTTTAAGATGTTATTAAGGCTTGCAGGCGGTTTGGGTTTTGGTAAATTGTTTTGAATAAATATTTTAAATATTAATTAATCTATTTAATTCCAGATATTTGCAACATTTATTACCAGTGAGTCTACTTTTCCAGGTTTAAATATAAATATAAAAAGTGTGTCGTTTTGTAAAAAAGAAAACTGTGTTGTATTGATGTGTTTTAGTTCGTGTTGTTATTGTTTTCAGTGCATGTTTATGTAGGTGGAAATTTAGTGTAAATTTCCATCCTTACATTTCCCTCCTTCTTCGGGAAAGTGAACTGGATCTGAACCGCTACCTGCTTGAGTGATTTCTATTTCGTTTCTTTGAAGATTTAAACACTTTGTAAAACTTGTCTTGATGCGTGTTAATATAGTCGTGATCGCTCTGCTGGAGTTCACCTTGACTTTCCATTTGTTTTTGCTGAGTTCGATTGCTGGAAGAATTCCAACTTCCGAGACGTTGTTCTTTTATTTGCACCATAGGGATAGCTACTTTATCTTTCGGTTGCGTGCAATTATCTTTTCCTTGATGTGAAACACATTGTGATTCTTGAATGGGACTTGGGGTTTTGTGAGTCATTCGATGTTGCACAGTTTTATTTTCGATGACTTCAATCTCCTGTTGATTTTGTTTTGCTTGTTTGACGGGTATTTCCTGTCGCGGTATTAGCGACGTCTCTGAGTGTACTTGATCTTGAGGTATGGAAGGTAACGAGGTTCTTAATAATTCGGTCGATGGTCTCCTAAGTTGTTCTTCTTGAAGCTGTGAACATTGTGAATGTGCCTCTTGCACTCGTGGATATTCTTCAGTAGGTGTAACATGTTGGAGTCTTTGCGGTGGTGGTATTTGAAACGGCGGTTTATCTTGTATGACTTGGACTAGGTTAATTCTTTCTAGATTTCTTTTTGGTTGATTAACTACCTGTAAATTTTTCTTGCTAGGACTTGGATCTTTGTGCCGTTGAATCTTTTGTTTTTGCGCTTTGATTACGCTTGGTTCTTTCTGTCGTTGTACTTTCTGTGTTTGAACTTGTAATATTTGATGATTTGGGGTGTCTTGCTGTTGTTTACATACTTCGAGATTTTCTTTGATAAATCTTGATTTTAACTGGTTTTGTAGTTCTTGTATTTCAACTGATACTATTTCACGGTTTGGTGTGACTCGCTGTTGTATAGATACTTTGTGATTTTGCTTGTTGGGTCTTGAATCTTGCTGTGGTTTGCACGGTTGGATTTTGAGCATTTGTTTAAATTCTGTGGCTTGGTCCTGATTGAACGATTTTAAGTTTTCTTTGAACGACGTGATATGTTGCGATGTTTCCTGTACTGATACTTGCTTTGTTTGACTTTGAAATATTTCCTGATCTGGTGTAACTCGTGCTGGCTTAAATACTTCGGGATTCTTCTTTGTAAGTTTTAGGTTTACTTGTCTTTGTGTTTCTTGCATCTGCGAATTTCCTCTGATGGGCCTAATATTTTGTGATTCTTGCTTTGGTTCGCATGGTTGGACCTGCAGCATTTGTTGAACTTCTGTGACTTGGTTCCGATTGAATGGTTTTAGATTTCCTTTAACTGGCATGACATGTTGGATATTCTGCTGAGTTGATACTTGGTACAGTTGATTTTGAAATATATCTTGATCTTGTATGATTCGTGCTGTTACTTGCTTAGCTGTCGGTTGGTAGCGTTGCTGATTACTTCTCTGCTGGTTGAGGATAGGTGACTCGGAATTTGAACTGGGAATAAGTTTGTCCTGTATCGGCGTAGTAGGTATGCGTCTCACTGTATTTTCCAATACCATCGTTTGTGGATATTCAACTTCTATGCGACCAACTATCACTTCCTGTCGAACACTGCCTCGACTCACTTTATCCTGTTCTGCGCCAAGTTCTTCGAAGTCATCTGCTAGTATTGCTAATTCTGTTAAGCTCGAAAAGTCTCGACGTTTGATGTACATTTGGTACTCTGTGCGCATATTTCGGTATATTCGTTCCAATTGTAAATCTTGGTTCATGCCTGTGTGTCGCATAAGATATTTAATTTCTAGTAAATAATCTTTAAAACTTTCTTGCTTCTTTTGAAATCGTGTTCGCACCTCGTCTTCTAATCTTTTGAAATATCTAGATGAAAGAAAAAATTTTAGAAAGTCTGTTTTGAAGCTTGACCAGAGGTTCCACTGTTTATTGTTGTTCCGGTACCACATCAGTGCTTTGTCTTCAAGCAGTACAGGCATCATCCTGGGAACTAGATTCACGTTGACGTCGTCAAGTTCTGCTAACTCTTCTATGCTTTCCACAAAATCTATTGGATCTACTCCTCCATTGTACTTTACAGACCATTTTCGTATCCGCTCCACGGTTTGTGCATACGATAAGTCCATGATGTGCTTGACTACTATATTTCCATTACTATTTCAACGGCCTTTGAATATTTTGGTCCCTGCTCGGGCGCCAACTGTAACGACCCTTTCTTTGAGTCGTTGCTTATTTGCCGAGGTATGCTCAGTCTCTCCAGGATCGTTACAATAAATTTTTAATTGAAACCAAAATATTCAGAGACACGTTTATGTTTTCTGGATTTTATTATTTAGTAGAATAAAATTATTTATTATTAAAGTTATTTAGTTGGATAAAATTTTACAATTAACAAATATTGGTTAAGTTTGGCTTAATTTTATAAGTAACTGCTTAAATCTTCCAAATGACCGGTATTGATTTGAATATAACAGGATGCTCTGTAGTGTTTCCAAGAATTATTCGGATGTTGTAATTCACTTTGATAGTTTGGAGTTTTCTAAGGGGAAAAATATGGTTAATATCGATAATTCTTGATATAGAATTATCCCTCATGTATATATTCTGTGAAATTATATTATTTACGATAGACGTAATTCGACCACTTGAAATAATATAATTCGACTTTGTGCAATAATTCTTGATGTAGAATTATTGATATGAATTGCTTTAGCTTTGTATTGATAATTCCTGATGTGGAATTATCCTTTGTATAAATATTCTGCAAAATTATATTATTTACGATAGACGTAATTCGACCACTTGAAATAATATAATTCGACTTTGTGCAATAATTCTTGATGTAGAATTATTGATATGAATTGCTTTAGCTTTGTATTGATAATTCCTGATGGGGAATTATCCTTTGTATAAATATTCTGTAAAATTATATTATCTACGCTAGACGTAATTCGACCACTTGAGATAATATAATTCGACTTTGTGCAATAATTCTTGATGTAGAATTATTGATATGAATTGCTTTAGCTTTGTATTGATAATTCCTGATGGGGAATTACCCTTTGTATAAATATTCTGTAAAATTATATTATCTACGCTAGACGTAATTCGACCACTTGAGATAATATAATTCGACTTTGTGCAATAATTCTTGATGTAGAATTATTGATATGAATTGCTTTAGCTTTGTATTGATAATTCCTAATGGGGAATTATCCTTTGTATAAATATTCTGTAAAATTATATTATCTACGCTAGACGTAATTCGACCACTTGAGATAATATAATTCGACTTTGTATAATAATTCTTTTAATTATTCTTTGTTTTGGACTTGAATTTATTTTATTTTTTACTAGGTGTATGTGCCTTAGTGATTATATGCCAAGTCTCTCGTATAAGAAAATTGCGCGTCTTATATACCCATTCGACCGAGCTTTTGTGTAGCGCATCATTTTATTTACAGCTGATCTCACGTAATTCTTGTTTTAATTTTTGCCGTTCTGATTTTCTATTTCATGTTTGTGCGGTACTCAACTTGTGCATTTAACTTCTCTTTAAGCTTCTCTTACGGCGAATATTTTTGGCAGTTCTTGTTTTCTTATGTTAACGCTGCTTTGTTTTGATTCTTACAAAACGTGTTTTAAACTACATTCGGTCGGTGGTGGTTTTTTATTTATTTCGTTTGTTAAAATAAAATGCAAATTAAAAAAAAATAAAATTATAATTAACAATAAATAAGGTGAGTTTATTATTTATTTATTTAATTATATATTTATATTTCATTTCAATATCATTTCAGATTAGTTTAAAATGTTATTAAGGCTTGCAGGCGGTTTGGGTTTTGGTAAATTGTTTTGAATAAATATTTTAAATATTAATTAATCTATTTAATTCCAGATATTTGCAACATTTATTACCAGTGAGTCTACTTTTCCAGGTTTAAATATAAATATAAAAAGTGTGTCGTTTTGTAAAAAAGAAAACTGTGTTGTATTGATGTGTTTTAGTTCGTGTTGTTATTGTTTTCAGTGCATGTTTATGTAGGTGGAAATTTAGTGTAAATTTCCATCCTTACATTTCCCTCCTTCTTCGGGAAAGTGAACTGGATCTGAACCGCTACCTGCTTGAGTGATTTCTATTTCGTTTCTTTGAAGATTTAAACACTTTGTAAAACTTGTCTTGATGCGTGTTAATATAGTCGTGATCGCTCTGCTGGAGTTCACCTTGACTTTCCATTTGTTTTTGCTGAGTTCGATTGCTGGAAGAATTCCAACTTCCGAGACGTTGTTCTTTTATTTGCACCATAGGGATAGCTACTTTATCTTTCGGTTGCGTGCAATTATCTTTTCCTTGATGTGAAACACATTGTGATTCTTGAATGGGACTTGGGGTTTTGTGAGTCATTCGATGTTGCACAGTTTTATTTTCGATGACTTCAATCTCCTGTTGATTTTGTTTTGCTTGTTTGACGGGTATTTCCTGTCGCGGTATTAGCGACGTCTCTGAGTGTACTTGATCTTGAGGTATGGAAGGTAACGAGGTTCTTAATAATTCGGTCGATGGTCTCCTAAGTTGTTCTTCTTGAAGCTGTGAACATTGTGAATGTGCCTCTTGCACTCGTGGATATTCTTCAGTAGGTGTAACATGTTGGAGTCTTTGCGGTGGTGGTATTTGAAACGGCGGTTTATCTTGTATGACTTGGACTAGGTTAATTCTTTCTAGATTTCTTTTTGGTTGATTAACTACCTGTAAATTTTTCTTGCTAGGACTTGGATCTTTGTGCCGTTGAATCTTTTGTTTTTGCGCTTTGATTACGCTTGGTTCTTTCTGTCGTTGTACTTTCTGTGTTTGAACTTGTAATATTTGATGATTTGGGGTGTCTTGCTGTTGTTTACATACTTCGAGATTTTCTTTGATAAATCTTGATTTTAACTGGTTTTGTAGTTCTTGTATTTCAACTGATACTATTTCACGGTTTGGTGTGACTCGCTGTTGTATAGATACTTTGTGATTTTGCTTGTTGGGTCTTGAATCTTGCTGTGGTTTGCACGGTTGGATTTTGAGCATTTGTTTAAATTCTGTGGCTTGGTCCTGATTGAACGATTTTAAGTTTTCTTTGAACGACGTGATATGTTGCGATGTTTCCTGTACTGATACTTGCTTTGTTTGACTTTGAAATATTTCCTGATCTGGTGTAACTCGTGCTGGCTTAAATACTTCGGGATTCTTCTTTGTAAGTTTTAGGTTTACTTGTCTTTGTGTTTCTTGCATCTGCGAATTTCCTCTGATGGGCCTAATATTTTGTGATTCTTGCTTTGGTTCGCATGGTTGGACCTGCAGCATTTGTTGAACTTCTGTGACTTGGTTCCGATTGAATGGTTTTAGATTTCCTTTAACTGGCATGACATGTTGGATATTCTGCTGAGTTGATACTTGGTACAGTTGATTTTGAAATATATCTTGATCTTGTATGATTCGTGCTGTTACTTGCTTAGCTGTCGGTTGGTAGCGTTGCTGATTACTTCTCTGCTGGTTGAGGATAGGTGACTCGGAATTTGAACTGGGAATAAGTTTGTCCTGTATCGGCGTAGTAGGTATGCGTCTCACTGTATTTTCCAATACCATCGTTTGTGGATATTCAACTTCTATGCGACCAACTATCACTTCCTGTCGAACACTGCCTCGACTCACTTTATCCTGTTCTGCGCCAAGTTCTTCGAAGTCATCTGCTAGTATTGCTAATTCTGTTAAGCTCGAAAAGTCTCGACGTTTGATGTACATTTGGTACTCTGTGCGCATATTTCGGTATATTCGTTCCAATTGTAAATCTTGGTTCATGCCTGTGTGTCGCATAAGATATTTAATTTCTAGTGAATAATCTTTAAAACTTTCTTGCTTCTTTTGAAATCGTGTTCGCACCTCGTCTTCTAATCTTTTGAAATATCTAGATGAAAGAAAAAATTTTAGAAAGTCTGTTTTGAAGCTTGACCAGAGGTTCCACTGTTTATTGTTGTTCCGGTACCACATCAGTGCTTTGTCTTCAAGCAGTACAGGCATCATCCTGGGAACTAGATTCACGTTGACGTCAAGTTCTGCTAACTCTTCTATGCTTTCCACAAAATCTATTGGATCTACTCCTCCATTGTACTTTACAGACCATTTTCGTATCCGCTCCACGGTTTGTGCATGCGATAAGTCCATGATGTGCTTGACTACTATATTTCCATTACTATTTCAACGGCCTTTGAATATTTTGGTCCCTGCTCGGGCGCCAACTGTAACGACACTTTCTTTGAGTCGTTGCTTATTTGCCGAGGTATGCTCAGTCTCTCCAGGATCGTTACAATAAATTTTTAATTGAAACCAAAATATTCAGAGACACGTTTATGTTTTCTGGATTTTATTATTAGTAGAATAAAATTATTTATTATTAAAGTTATTTAGTTGGATAAAATTTTACAATTAACAAATATTGGTAAAGTTTAGCTTAATATTATTAGTAACTGCTTAAATCTTCCAAAGGACCTGTATTGATTTGAATATACCAGGATGCTCTGTAGTGTTTCCAATAGTTATTCGGATGTTGTGATTCACTTTGATAGTTTAAAGTTTCTAAGGGGAAAAATATGGTTAGTATCGATAATTCTTGATATAGAATTATCCTTTGTTTATATATTCCGTGAAATTATATTATTTACGATAGACGTAATTCGACCACTTGAAATAATATAATTCGACTTTGTGAATAATTCTTGATGTAGAATTATTGACATAATTGTTTAGCTTTGTATTGATAATTCCTGATGTGGAATTATCCTTGTATAAATATTCTGCAAAATTATATTATTTACGATAGACGTAATTCGACCACTTGAAATAATATAATTCGACTTTGTGCAATAATTCTTGATGTAGAATTATTGATATGAATTGCTTTAGCTTTGTATTGATAATTCCTGATGGGGGATTATCCTTTGTATAAATATTCTGTAAAATTATATTATCTACGCTAGACGTAATTCGACCACTTGAGATAATATAATTCGACTTTGTGCAATAATTCTTGATGTAGAATTATTGATATGAATTGCTTTAGCTTTGTATTGATAATTCCTGATGGGGAATTACCCTTTGTATAAATATTCTGTAAAATTATATTATCTACGCTAGACGTAATTCGACCACTTGAGATAATATAATTCGACTTTGTGCAATAATTCTTGATGTAGAATTATTGATATGAATTGCTTTAGCTTTGTATTGATAATTCCTAATGGGGAATTATCCTTTGTATAAATATTCTGTAAAATTATATTATCTACGCTAGACGTAATTCGACCACTTGAGATAATATAATTCGACTTTGTATAATAATTCTTGATGTAGAATTATTCTTTGTTTTAGACTTGAATTTATTTTATTTTTTACTAGGTGTATGTGCCTTAGTGATTATATGCGAAGTCTCTCCTATAAGAAAATTGCGCGTCTTATATACCCATTCGACCGAGCTTTTGTGTAGCGTATCATTTTATTTACAGCTGATCTCACGTAATTCTTGTTTAATTTTTGCCGTTCTGATTTTCTATTTCGTGTTTGTGCGGTACTCAGCTTGTGCATTTAACTTCTCTTTAAGCTTCTCTTACGGCTAATATTTTTGGCAGTTCTTGCTTTCTTATGTTAACGCTGCTTTGTTTTGATTCTTACAAAACGTGTTTTAAAACTACATTCGGGCGGTGGTGGTTTTATTTATTTTGTTTGTTACGATAAATAAAATGCAAATTTAATAAAAAATTAAAAATATAATTAACAATAAATAAGGTGAGTTTATTATTTATTTATTTAATTATATTTTTATATTTCATTTCAATATCATTTCAGATTAGTTTAAGATGTCATCAAGGCTTGCAAGCGGTTTGGTTTTTGGTAAATTGTTTTGAATAAATATTTTAAATATTAATTAATCTATTTAATTCCAGATATTTGCAACATTTATCACCAGTGAGTCTACTTTTCCAGGTTTAAATATAAATATAAAAAGTGTGTCGTTTTGTAAAAGAAAACTGTGTTGTATTGATGTGTTTTAGTTCGTGTTGTTATTGTTTTTAGTGCACGTTTATGTAGGTGAAAATTTGATGTAAATTTCCATCCTTACACTGTAAATGATTATAATTGATAATTGTGTTATATTAAATTATTAAAAGATTCAGTGGAACAAAAAAATGTTAAAAATGACAATGTCATTTTTTTTGCAATGCACTCTACATATGGTGCGAGAAATTTAATAAGTTCAAGCTACATAAAGTGCACTTTTATATGCAAGTTAGACATATGTACGAATATACGAAAGAAATATTCTTTACGCTTTAAACGTTTAATTTATTCTTAAAAATCGGAGGCTTTAATTATCGCTAAAGAAAACTAAAAAGTTCTAAACTAAACTGTCCACTTAACTGATGGCCATAAATTGAAAACATCCCTATCTCAGTGGCATGAATAAGGCAGCAGCAAAGAACAACAAGTGAAAAGTAAATCCACCGGATGAAGAATTAGTTACTCTAACTGATCCCATTTTACAAATGAATGGCACATCACACAATGATCTTATTGACTATGTAGAATCTGTAGAGGCTCCACAAGAAAGCAGCAACAAGACAGCAGAAACAACAACAGCTAAGTGGCGAAAAATTTCATTATTTCACATGATATACCTATATCATTTATAAAAAATTTTTTTAATAATTATTTTATTATATAATTTTCATAATTTTTATTATTTTTTTATTATTATTGAATTCTTATATCACTTATATCATTTATAAAAATTTTTTTTAATAATTATTTTACTACATAATTTTTTATAATTTTTATTATTTTTATTATTATTGGATTCTTAATATTTAATTAAACTAATTGTTGAAACAGGAGTCAGAAAGAAAAAAAGGGGAAAAGAAACATTTAAACTTGATATATATATATATATGGGTATATAGGCAACAACCAATATACTATGAAAGTACTTAAGACTATAGATAGAAAGAGAGTCTTAGGTTTTATTTTAATTACAGGTTTCCTGGCTGGTGACGTCACCAACGTGGAGGCGATTCGTAAATAAGAGTAGCTGGATAAAAAAAATGCTACTTGTAATGATCCTCTCTTAGTTTGTTTATCTTTTTACTTATTTTCTTTTTCTCTTTGGGTTTTTTTTTACTCTTGATTTATTTGGTTAAATATTTCTAATATTATTTGAATTTGATCATTATTTTCTTATATTTTTTTTATTTAATATTTCTTTTATTTTCATCATGTCAATAATTTCATTTACATAATTATATTTAATAAAATGAAGTTTGTTAGTTATTTAAGCTTAGTTTAAATACCTTTTTGCTTATTTTCTTTTTCTCTTTGGGTTTTTTTTTTACTCTGGATTTATTTTGTTAAATATTTCTAATATTAGTTGAATTTGTTCATTAGTTTCTTATATTTTTTTATTTTTTTTATTTAATATCTCTTTTATTTTTATCATGTCAATAATTTCATTTATATAAATTATATTTAGTAAAATGAAGATTGTTAGTGATTTAAGTTTAGATTAAGTAATTGTAACTCAACATTTATTTTTGTTTGGTTTAATTCAACAAAAAAAAAATATAAGTCATTAAAATCAATAATTTTTTTTGTTTTGTTGAAAGGTTATTTAAATATATTATATAGAAAAGAACAAATTCCAACATGATGTCTGGCTAGGCATATATTAAGCTCAAAAGGGTAGTACAGGGACATGTTATGAGGGGCGTATAGGAGTAGAATGAAATAGACTGGTTATGAAGATAGAACAGTTGACAGGACTGAAAGACTTGAAAAAAAATTACTAAATATAACTAGATAGAATTTGTCAATGGCACGATATTTTTTTTTTGTTTGTTGTCAGCCGGTGGCCAATAGTTCCCAAGAACTTGCACCCAAAAACGGCGAGCATACCGGACCTGCCAGCGTGCCATGCTAGGCTTCTAGAACCACCTTAATCACAACATGGCTGACATAACAACATGTAGGAACACATATGGTAGAACCTGGGGCCTTAGTCCCAGAATTCTCTCATGGATCTACCGTACAATGGTCAGACCGATTGTATCCTATGCAGCTCTTGTTTGGTGAAACAAGGCACAACAAAAGCTGCAATACTCAAATGCAATAAACTGCAAAGACTCGCATGTATAGCTATGACGGGAACTATTAGAACATGTTCCACGTCAGCACTGAAGTCCATAGTGGGTTTTACCCCTCTGCACCTCTTCATTAAAAAGACAGCAGCCCTGAGTGGAGCTAGGTTACACCCTGATATCAATATGCACGGAAGTCTTGACAGTCAAAACTCTATCTGCAGACTAGTTCCTGATGTGCTGCAGCAGCTAGCAAGCAAAAACAAAGTGACGCTTTGCTGGGTGCCTGGTCACACAGGAGTAAAGGGTAATGAATTTGCCGACAATCTTGCAAGGGCAGGTTCTGCCACTCAAATCTGTGGACCGGCACCCTATTGCGGATTAAGTTGGTCTACAACTAGGTATCTAATTGATAAATGGATCTTAGCTGAGAGAGGTTGCTACTGGCGCGACAATCGAGGTAATCGTCAGGCTAAAGAGCTGGTCCACCCATATAGTTATGGCAAGATATCCCTCCTTAGCAGATCAAACTTGAGATTGCTAGTGGGATATTTAACGGGTCACCATGGACTGCGTTATCACCTTAATAAGATGGGTCTGTCCGAGGAGACGGAGTGTCGACTCTGCTTAGAAGCAGATGAGACTACCAGTCATATTCTCTGTGACTGCCCAGCCTTCACCTGGGCAAGGCGGAGGTCACTGGGAGGAGGACTGCTCTCTCCTTCTGACATTTGGAAGTCCTCAACTGCCAACATTCTGGCTTTCATTTGAAAAGCGGAATGTCTTCTGTTCGGTTAGGGTCAGTTGCAGCACAAAAGATCAATCTGGTCGCAGTGTTCTGCTCTGTTGGGAGCTTGTACCCCGTTTATTTCTATTCTATTCTATTCTAAATTAACTTAACATGTATGACTCGATTTAATAAATAAGTAATTGCCATTAGAACAATTGTTTAATACAATTTTACAGTTCTTGTTTATTTTTCAACACACTTTACCTTTTGTAATTGTTTCTTTAAATTAAATTAACTAAACATGCATGAAT